TCGGTATGCGTGTTGGAAAAAGGCTCTGAAATTGGCGCTCACATTTTATCTGGAAATGTATTTCAACCAACAGCACTGGATGAACTCCTTCCGGATTGGCGACAAGTAAGCAGTGTGGGGGGAGAGTATGCGGATGGTCTACTAGTGAGAAAATTTTGGAAAAATTACTGTTGCTGTTTTTGTACACTTCTACCCGAATTCGTGTATAAATTTCTATTGTTAGTGAGGAAAATCCCTAGTGGAAAAATATGCATATGGTCAACTACGTGTGTTGGTGACAATATGAAAATTCTGGGAGGGAATTTTGTGAAAGTTTTTGTTGGTTTCTGTACACTTGTACCCGAATTCGTGGGTAAACTTTTATAAATTTTGAGCTTAGCTGAGGAGAGCGAACAAATATTCATACTCCAACACTGGAGTTTCGCCCGTTTTACGTGAAGTGGAGTTATACTCCATGTGAAAAATGTGATATTCGCGATATGAAGTGAATTGAAAATACAGCGGACAAAGCATCTCATATTAGGTGGAAAACTTCACGTGTTTCACGCGTTATTCACTGCTCACAGGCGTTTTTCGAAATATGTTTTTCACCAGTGTTTATTTTTCATATCATAAAAACGAATCACCCGTGATATGAAAAAATAAATGTTTTTATTTTATTTGACGATTTCTTTCACATAATGGAGATTCACACGTTTTATATGAAGTGGCGTAAAACTCCGTAAAAAACGCGATATTCGCGCCTTGCAATAGTCGTGTAATATGTTTTTCACTAGTGTTTTTCATATCACAGGTGAAACTCCACTAGTGTAAAAAGCGTGTTTTTTCCAGGAGAAACCCAGTTGGTCACAAACGCCAGTTTCTCGAGATGATTTTGTATACCTCCCCACGGCTAAATATGCAATAAAATCACCGTATTTGCCCTCTGCGATGAGCAATGCTGGAAATTATATTATTTCACTCGGCGATATGTGCCGTTGGTTGGGAGAAAAGGCTGAGGAATCTGGTAGGCTGTGTGGGGAGGGGGATATGCATATGGTCGGTGATGACAATATGGTGACAAGGTGGTGAAAAAGTGGTGGAATATGGTATGGAATATGTATATGGTGAAAAGGCGTTGATGACAATGTGGGAATTGTGAGGAAATTTTGGTATTGCAATTTGTAATGTGGTAGAAATGAAGTTGATCATTTTTCACTATTAGAGTCGGACCACACACTGTTATGCAGCGCTTGTTCGAGTATTTCTCTACGACGGCACCACTTGAGATGCATATCGTCCGAAAAAACTGCAAATAATTATCAATTATTATAATATTAGTTAATTATTAATTAGTAAATTATTAATATAGTGATATATTATCACTACTTTTCGTGACGTGATGTGAAAATGGCCGAAAAAGTCCGTCCCGGGAATTGAACCCGATCCTGAGCTCGCGTAGTATTCCTTTTTAGGCGTTGAAATCTATCCTGGATTTGCTGTTTCGGAAGACATCATTGTTGATAATAAAGGGCGAATGGTAGCGGTGAAGATCCGCGACCAAGGCGTGGCAAAAGATGGTCATCAAAAAGCTAACTATGAACAGGGGGTTAAAATATACGGTGAGGTTGGATGGGAAGCAGAGCTTAAAAGTTTATCTGAGGATTTCGGAATATGATATATAGCATACATATATTATTGGAGTTTCATAACCCGTTTTATGCGAAGTGGCGTAGTAATACTCTGTGAAAAACTAGGCGATATTCGCGGTGATATGCAGTATATATTTCACTAGTGTTGGTTTTCATATCACTAGGGTGGTGAAACTCCAGTGTCATGTCGTGTGTTAGCAAGAGTAAGTGAATGGAAATTGCTAGAAAAATGCCTGTACCGGGAATCGAACCAGCGATCGTTGCAAGCACGAATAAAATAGAGTATTGCTGGGAATCTCTCTGGGAATATTAGGTTATAGTTTTTCTCTTTTTTCTAGGTAAACAGATCATCCTTGCTGAAGGTGCTAGGGGCTCCTTATCGTTGGAGGTGGCTAAACGGTATAACCTTAACGCGGGGAGATGCCCTTCTAAATTCAGTCTTGGTGTAAAAGAAGTATGGAAGGTCAGCCCTGAGGTAGTTTTTTGATAATTGGAGTTTAACAACAACCTGTTTTACGTGAAGTGATGTAAAACTAGGCGATATTCGCGGTGATATGCAGTAGTCGTGGAATATATTTTTCACTGGTTTTTTTTCATATCACTAGGGTGGTGAACCTCATTCGAAAAAATGAACGACTTTGTTGTTCATTGGAGTTTCACAACAATCCGTTCAACGTGAAGTGGCGTAGTAATACTAAGGAAAGCTGGCATATACACTGCGTTGTTGAAAAAAAATTTTTGTCAGGTCAGCGATCCAGGCCATGTGACACACACCGTTGGCTTCCCTATGGACTACATGTCGTATGGGGGCGGATTCATATATCATATGAATGGTGACACGGCGGTGACACTGGCTCTATTTTTGAAAATATATTTTCTTAGACAATCTGGTTCATCTGGGATACGTAACGGGTCTTGGATATACTAATACTAATATGTCGCCATATATGGAGTTGCAAAAGTAGTGGTATTAGGTGATTGGGAAATAGTGTCACGTGCCACGAAATAGGTATAAAACTCATGATATGCTGAGACACCTGTTAGAAGGGGGCAAATGTGTTGGATATGGAGCAAGAGTTATTAATACTGGTAACGTGGGGAAGTGACGTAATACTCTGTGATAAACTAAGCGATATGCACCAGTGGTTGGTGATGTTCTTCAAATCACTAGGGTGGTGAAACTCCGAGAACTCAATCTGGTTTTTTAAGATGGAGTTTATTTATAAATATCAGCAATAGTAGTTATGTTTTACGCCCCGTTTTACGTGAAGTGGCGTAAAAACTCGGTGAAAAACGAGGCGATATTCGCGGTGATATGCATTAGTCGTGAAATATGTTTTTCATCAGTGTTTTTCATATCACTAGGGTGAAACTTCACTACATATTTAGTTCTATATCGTAGTTATGAATATTAGCGTGAGTTGTAATTGGAGTGGTATGCAGGTGGTTATCAAGCACTACCTTCGGTGGCCTTCCCCGGTGGTATGTTGGTTGGTGATGCTGCGGGCTTCCTTAACGTTCTCAAGATTAAGGTAATATAGGGCGATCTTATTGTTGTTCATTGCATGTGTGTCTATGATGAGGATATGAACACTATATAGGTAGACTATGCAACTATAATATAATAAGAATTTTGTTCGGTATGGTAGTGTAGTATACAGATAGATAGGTGGAGTATACTAGATGAAGTACTATCATGTAGTATGCTTTATATAGTCTGCGAATGATAGTTTGAAGTGATATACTGCTCTATACTTTATTGCATGTGTGTCTATGATAAAGGATATGAACACTATATAGGTAGCCTATGCGACTATGCTAGTGGTCGCGAATAGCTATGAATATTTGTTAGAAAAACTCGTTCATACTGTATGTAGTTGTTGAATAAAACTATCATTTGAAGAGATGTAGATGTAAAGAAAGTCTATTGCGGCATTGCTGAGACATGAGAATCTTCCTTCGCAGAGTGACGATCTGATAGGAAAAGATTGAAATTGCTGCTACCTTTTATTTGAGGTTATTGGTGATATTGTCGGTGGATGATTTATGATATGCAGCTGGATTGGTACCAATTTAATAATAACGAAATTGAAAGAATTTTTGGTCAATTTTTTTGGAAAATTTCTGTGATGTGTGCGAAAATTGGAAAGTTAATTTTGTTTTTATTTCAGGGGACGCATACTGCGATGAAGACGGGGATGCTGGCTGCAGAGTCGGCTGTTGCTGACATTAGTGATGGAGCAAAACCTGGTCATGTGTCGTCTAGATATGAACATGCGATGAAGGACAGTTGGGTGTATAAAGAGCTATATGTAATATAGTTCTTGCCAATTTGATGATATGCAAGTTTTTAGAGTGTACGTAATATTCATCCAGCGTTTAAGACGGGCTTGTTCTCGGGGCTGGGGTATGGCGCTTTCTGGTTGCTCAGTAAAGGGAGAGAGCCATGGACGTTCAAGTAGTAGTAGTAGTAGTAAAAGTAGTAGTAGTAGTAGTAGTAGTAGTAGTAGTAGTAGTAGTAGTAGTAGTAGTAGTAGTAGTAGTAGTAGTAGTTGATATAGTTGCTTCGCTCCGCTGCATTTTTATTATAGTGGTATAAGGATGATGCTGCTAGAACGCGTAAGAGAAGAAATGCAAAGCTATAGACTATCCTAAGCTGATGGTAGTGGGGAGGAATTGTGGTATCTCGCAGAGTGAAAATTTGAAGGAAATTGACTGTCGTGGAAAAGTGCAAAAGTGGAATTACACCAATGAAAAAGATGATGGTAATTGTCCATTAACCTCTAAACGAATGGACAAGTCTGTCGTAAGTTAAAGTGCATGACTGACTGAGTTATGTTGGATGTAGTAGTGTGGAGGAATATTGAAAATTGTGTGGAAATCTGGGGAGATTCTCATTGATTCGTTGAGTGTGGTCGAATTAGTGTGAAAACTGACGACCTGAGCTGAGGAAGGTGAACATGTATTAATACTCCAACACTAGAAGCTCGCACATGAGGAAATTGATGAAGTAGACTGTATTAGAGTTTCACCACCCTAGTGATATGAAAAACACTAGTGAAAAATGTATCTCGCGACTACTGCATATCACCGCGAATATCGCCTAGTTTTTCACGGAGTTTTGCACCACTTCGCGTAAAACGGGTTGTTGTGAAACTCGATTGAGTAATAATGGTTGCTTGTAGGTAAACTGACATTCGACTTGACAGACCAGCTGCCGTTGACAGGGGTGGACCACGAGGCTGATCAACCTTCCCATTTGAAGATCAAACCTGGAATGGAAAAGTTTCCGAAAGAGGTAGTAGTAGCGAGGTGTAAATTCGGGTTACAATTAGTAAGGAAATATATATATTATAGTATTATATTATATAGTATAATATATAGTATTGTTATGTCCATTTTTGTGCGATCGCCTCAAGATATGTAATGTGAGGTACTACTCAGGAACCGTCTTGGTTCTTCATTGAAGTTTCATAACAGTCCGTTTTACGTGAAGTGGCGTCGTAAAACTCGGTGAAAAACTAGGCGATATTCGTGGTGATATGCAGTAGTCGTGAAATGTGTTTTTCACTAGTGTTTTACATATCACTAGGGTGGCCGTGGAACTCTATTGTAGGTTTCCTTTGCCCAATACGACGGTCCCGAGCAAAGATTCTGCCCAGCTAAAGTGTATGAATACGACGATGAAGGGAAGCTCACCATCCATGCACAGAATTGTATTCACTGTAAAACTTGCAGTATCAAAACGCCTGGGCATTTCATACAGTGGACTGTCCCAGAAGGAGGTGGAGGACCGCAGTATGGCAGTATGTAAATCGCGCGCGCCCAGATGATCGATTGTTTGGCATCTGCCTTGTTTACAGGCATTCGCTGTTGTTTTTTGTTGTTGAGAGTTGAGTAATTTTTCTATCCGATATGTTTGTTCGAGGGTGACTGACCCGAGAATTGAACCTGGGTTGGTTGGTGGATAGTCGACTGTGCTAACCGTTTCGCTGAATATGACTGTATGGATGCTGTGAGTTATAGTGATGGGTTAGTGAGGAAGTACCATATAGAGAAAGTATCATGAATTTGGGTGGGGGATTATAAATTATTGGTTCGATTCGGCGTCTGGTTTTATGTAGTTGAGTGTTGCTGATAAATTGTTGTTTTATTTAATTGATAAAAATTGAATTCGAATTGATAATTTGTTTGGGTAGGCAACAAGGACGGAGTTGCTATGAGTTGTAACTGTGGGCTTTCGAAGATTTGAAGGTCTGATCTCCGCGTGTTCTCTTGATTAGGTCGCCTCTTATCACTGCAGAAATACAATTTATTAATAATTTATAAACTCATTATAGCTACAGTAAATATTCATCTATATTTTTAATACTGAAGTTTCATCCTAGTGATATGAAAAACACTAGTGAAAAACATACTTAACGACTACTGCATATCACGCGTTTTTCACCGAGTTTTACGACGCCACTTCACGTAAAACGGGTGAAACTCCATTGTAAAACTATAGGCGCTTTTATTCGTATTATTCTCTATTATTTTACATCTAGCAACGTCTCTGGTGGGCAAGTCGGGAATTCACCCTGATGCCTACTGGAGGGGGGTCCATGTGGCCCTTAGTTGCTACGAGATTACTCCTAGGGGGAGTCTAGAAAATATGCGGAAATTCAGCGAGTATTCGTCTATGGATGGTTTTAGCATATCATTATTAATTTCTGTTAATGGTTATACATTATATCGAAGGGTTGTACCAGGGGATGTCGGTGAAGGCTGATGAAATGAAGGAGAAGCTTGCTGCTAATTGTTCTTTCTGTCGGGGTGTAAGTCTGCAGCATCAGAAAATTCTGATGGGAAATTATTGTTGGTTTCTGTACACTTCTACCCGAATTCATATATAAACGCCTATTATTAGCTCTGGAAACTTGTGAGCTCAGCTGAGAAGGCATACATTCGTACTCCAACACTGCTGTTTGGGACTGCTGCAGTGAATACCAATACTGCGTCCGATCGATCAATTCTCTTTTAACGACAATGTCCACGCATATCCTTCGGAAGAGCGTTGCTCGTATCTCCAGCGGAAAATATTAATTTTGATCGTGTCGCGAATTAACCGAAACTGTTCTGCACCATTACGGTGAGGAAGCCCTCCGAAAACGCCCTCACCGGGAATGGAACTAGCGACTGTTAAAAACAGTCCAAATTTCATTTCTTCGTCTCTTTGTACAATCTACACGACTCAAGGTGTTATTTCAGGATGTACTCTCCTTCTTGAGACCATCCTCTTCCTCAACAGCCGAGTCGAGTGTCACTAACAAAGTTGGGGGGTGGTATAGGGATGCCGCGGGGGGCATGAGGCATTCGCCTGTTACCTTTACTGAGAAGGAAGTGGCTGTGGTGAATGATAACGGAGGCGATTGTTATACGTGCAGGATGGTGAGGTCTTCGGGTTTGCAGAGTGCGTGGAAATGTGGTATGTGAAAAATTGTGTTATTTTATGAGAATCGATCTGAAACGACTTATATCGCATGAACAATGGAGTTTAACGTGAAGTGGCGTAGTAATACTCCATGTGAATTACAGGAAGTATATGTTTCCGCGACCGAGTGTTTTACACGAAGTGAATTGTGAAATATATTTTCCACTAGTGTTTCTCATATCACTAGGGTGGTGAATCTCAATTGAAAAAACGAACGACTTTGTTGTTCATTGGAGTTTCACAACAACCCGCTTAACGTGAAGTGGCGTAGTAATACTCCATGTGAATTACAGGAAGTATACCGATAACACGACGAGTGTTTTCCACGAAGTAAAATATGTTTTTCACTAGTGTTTCTTATATGACTAGGGTGAAACTCCATTATATAAACATTGCTATGAACATGTATTGAGTTACTTTTCGAGATTATGATACCGACAAGTTGTTCCGTAATAGAAAACACATATTTTTTACATTTGCATATTATCAAAATATTCGTTGTTGCCCTTCCAGGTTGGATTTGTGACCTTCACCGCGGCATCGGCCTATTGTTTAGCAGAGGCGAAGAGGAGTGTCGGCGCTGGACGTAAGCATGATGGAAAATGTTTGTGGAATTGTTGGTGTTAATCATTGGAAATTTGACGGAAAAAATGCGAATTTATTTCACGGCTTTTTGGTTGGAATGTGAGGAAATACTATCAATGGAGTTTCACAACAACCCGTTTTACGCGAAGTGGCGTCGTAAAACTCGGTGAAAAACTAGGCGCTATTTGCGGCATGTAGTAGTCGTGAAATATGTTTCTGCCTAGTGTTTTTCATATCACTAGGGTGGCGAAACTCCAATGTATTGCTATGAAGTTTTAATAGATATATGCACTGGAGAAAAGTGATGCCGTTGGGGTTCGTTCCGGGGGTTTCCTGAGGCCTCACGAGGTTTCGAAATTCTCAGTGTGAGCAGTGTGGGAAATACGCACATGATCGACTTCGCGTATTGTTGATAGCCAAGAAATTTCGAGGAGTGTTTCCGTGCATTTGTACTCAACATTTTGTGAGGCATGAAATTAATTATAAAATTTCTGAAGGAAAAAAACTTATATATTCCAGTGGGAGAATGTCAAATTTTTATGAGGAGTTTCTCTGCAGGTCGGGTATTTCGTGGTCTCAGCGGCTTGTTTGCTGCACTCGCTTTGGTGCGTGGTTTCACTCCAGCACGGCCTGTTGATATTTCAACACTAAATGTAGTGGATAGAGTATCACCAACAGCGGTGACGTCCCCACTCGCTGAGAAGGTTGCTGAAGATTAATACGATGCAGTCTGTATTGATCGATTTTGAGTTGAAGTGGGTTGATCACGGTAGTGGGAAAATGAGCACATTGTCAATAGCATATGTAGGTGAGAAAATAAATGAAATTTTTTATCGAAAAACTGCGCATTTGTAATACCTAGTAAGCTCAGGTGAGGAAGGAGAGAACAATTCCCCCCAACACTGCGTGGGAATATTTGTTTATTTGTAGTATGATTTTTAAATGTAGTGGTCGAAGCATCGCTTCTCGTCTTATCCATACAAATTCTACTAAACGAGTGGCCAGTCGGAATCTGCTGATGGAAATTAGTGGGTGTCAGGAAGTGGAAATGTTAGGAAGAATACTTCACGAAAAAACAGCATTTTTTGAGCACATACATTGGATCACCGCACTGCGAAGATTCGCTCAGTTGAATCCTGGTAGTCTTATACCGGACAGTCGGCTCACTTTGAAGGTTTGCCTATCCCTACCAGTGAGGGTGTTGGATTTCCGATCAGCCGCAAATCTCATCTGGGCCTTGGGAACGCTGGGATCATCTCGGGAAGTAGCGCAGCCTTTTATAAATCACTCGGTGCGGCTGATTCGGTTGTCTGCGAGCTCCCTAGATCTGCAGCGCGTGGCGGCTCTGCTGGTTGGAGTGGCCCGGGGGAAATTTGAGAGGGGGTGTCTTATGGACGCCCTCGAGGATCGTCTGTGCGTCGTGGATGACACTTGGAACGGTCGCGATGTTAGTCTTTGTCTTTGGGCACTGGGGAGGTTCTCATATGAGGGGAAGCTGGTCGACTTGTTCGCGGAGTGGGTCTCCGGGGTCGGGCCTTCTGGTATGAATGAACAAGATTGGAGTATATGTTTATTCAATTTGGGTAGACTTGGCCGCTTTGACCTCGCCTTGGTCCCGAGAGCGAGTGGACTGATGAACGACTCGAGGAATATAGCAACACTGTTATGGTCGGCTGGGCAGGCTACGGGGGGTGGGGGAATTTTGTGGCGCGCGGTCAAGGAACACTATGAAGTTTTATCGGAGAGGCTGTTACCTGCGGATATCCCTCAAGTGATGTGGGCGATCGCTAGAGTTGACGGGCCGGAGGCTTTGGGAGGGCTCGCCTTGAAACTTGCGGAGAAATTGAGAAGTAGTGGTTGGGTACCAACGAACCGTTTAGAAGTGAATAGTGTTGCGTACGGATTGCACTGGACGAGGGTGATGAATCTCGAGCTTTATCGATGGCTGCATACGTTGATGATTCAACACCTAGTTAGGATGCCACTTCGGGAAGTTCACTGTGGTGTGGTACGAAAAATTCCAAATGAGGTTGTTGATAATGCGACAGAGCCACTGGTGGTATATAGCGATCTTGGGGGAGTCAGTATTGTATATAAACCTAATGCGTGGACCACTGAAATGACACAGAGCTTCTTGGGAGAATCTTTGGTACTCGCGCACAGAATAGATTTCGGGACGTCCGGGCCGCTGATGGGAACGGTCTCGGGAGGGGAGGAGGCGGTATTGGCGTTGCAACAGCAGGCTGGCTTGGTGGTGAAGAAATACTGGTGTTTGGTAGAGGGAATTCTGATGGAAAAAAAGGGAAATGTGGAGGCCCGAATTGAAAATTTGGAAACTTGGTGTGTAGTTTCAGAAGATGGAAAACCTGCAGTAACTGAGTATTTGGTGAGAAGGGAGTTCGAGGAGGCCGGAGTGTCTCTGGTGGAGTGTCGCTTACTGAGTGGTAGAAAGCATCAAATTCGAGTGCATATGGCGTCCATGGGCCATCCTCTTGTGGGAGATCCGTGGTATAATTCGGAAAGTAAAATCGAGGATTTTGGGATAGGAAGAATTTTTCTGCATTGTCACACACTGGAGTGGTATGATCTGTATAGTGCCCGCCATCGATACGGTGTAGAGGTGCCGCTGCCGAGGGACCTTCGAGAAGTGTTGGATAGGATTGAGGACAGTGGGTGATGATACTAATGTTTCTGCTTGGTTATTGCTTGTGTTAAAGCTGTCGGTGACGACGATGTTGAGGATTATTTTAGTCGCGTGGTTAATCTATAAGAATATTTCATACCATAATTATCACGAATCATGTTGTCATTGTTATGATAATGGGTTTGGGGGACTCCTCATTCGCTGTCACTACAGTGGCAAATCGCGATAGGTAGCGTCATCGACTACTGGTAAATCGTCAGAGTTCTTCCCAAACGGCGGCTATACCCTAATACTGTCAACTACGCCTGGTTCGAAGGGCGCCGCAGCCGCTCTAGAAGAGGAATTATGTTGTCGCGAGTGATGTTATAACTGTTGGCAGTATATGATACTGTACTATATAATTATCGCAGTGTTGTTATGATAGCATAAACTTGAATTAATATTAGAAGTACTTCCAAGTTCTTTACAGAGAAATTTACGTGAGCCGGTGGGGAGGAACTTGACCTTAGTTAATTTTCGAATTGGCAGAGAGCAGAGAGGTGTCCTATCGACAAGATGACGGAGCGTAAGGTGATGAATAAGTATTACCCACCCGACTTCGACCCGTCGAAGCTGTTGCCTATGAGGATGGTCAAGAAGCCTAGGGTTGAGCAACGAGGTAGTAGTAGTAGTAGTAGTAGTAGTAGTAGTAGTAGTAGTAGTAGTAGTAGTAGTAGTAGTAGTAGTAGTAGTAATAGTACTTATACTAGTAGTAGTACTAATACTAGTAGTAGTACTAATACCAGTAGTAGTACTAATACTAGTAGTAAATGTGAAGTAGTCAACTACATATGTTGGTGACAGTAGAGAAATTTTGGGATCTTCTTATTGGTTTCTGTATATTTTTATCCCGAATCGTGTGTGAACTTTTATAATTAGTGGGGGAACTCGTGAACTCAGCTGAGGAAAGCGGACATATATTCCAGCATTATGACAATGTGGGAAAATATGCACGTGGTCAACTTCATGTGTTGATGACAATATGAAAAATCTGAGAATATCGCAGAGAAATACCGTATGTAAGTTCCCATCATGTTGTGAGGAATGTCCTTCCTGAGCTCTGCCGAAGAAAGCAAGCATATATTCCAGCACTGAGTGTGAACAGGTCCGAAGTGCATGAACATCCGAATGATGCTGCCGTTCTCGATGTGTTGTAGTCACTGTGGAGAGTATCTGTATATCGCCACCAAGTTCAATAGCAGGCAAGCGGAAGGTCTCCGGTTCGATCCCTTCAGACTCCGTTTCTATAGGTGCCAGAAGTTGCCAGAGAAGAGTTCATTGGGGCTCAACGTGTACCGATTTTACGGTAAATGCAAACATTGTTTAGGTAAGTGAATCCTCGAATTCTGTTTGGGACGTTGTGTTAGGCGAATTCTCATTCCGCACTGACCCTGAGCATTCTGACTATGTCTTGGAAACCGGCGGGACGAGAACGTGAGTATTACTTTTATCATTGGCGCCCACTGGTGCTGTCCGATGCGGTGTTGGAATATACATGAGCTCTCATAAGCTGATCTCAGAAGTTTATATAAGAATTATATTACGACCGCCACATGCAGTTGATCGTGTGCGTATTTTCTCCAGCCACAGTGGTCGAATGAATATTCCATGATAAGTGGCGAAGGGTATTTAAGCGACTTGTCAGATATGAGGGATTCAAGGATGCCGATTTCGCAGAAGCGGAAGTGTCCCATCGTAAAACTGGAGAGGAAAATGGTATGGGAATCATTGGGGCGATGGGTTGTTGTTGATGTTGTTGTAGAATCGGAAACGAAAGCAATGGAGAATAGGATATATGATACTGCAGAGGAGATGCGACGTTTAGATGAGTTGGATGAGCTGAAGGCTGTGAATCGGAGGTAGGGTGATGGGGAATGTACTCGGAGCGTTAATGACGATAATAATATTAATACGACTTCCACTGAAAATACAGTATCATCAGGGAGAGTCGTCAGTATACTTATCGATGTGGGCAATTCCGAAGTTAATGCTTCGCGATGCAGTGCGTGTCACTTTGATATGCAAATGCGAAGAATGTGTGTTTTGTATTCCGGAACAATTTCTCGCAATCGTAGTCTCGAAAGATTACTTATAGCGCATCTCATATTCAAAGCAACGTATGCATTGTCTGTGCCATATCGCTCCAGATCGATTCTCATTAATCTTGAGAAGTATTACACGTGTTTTACATCTGCATATCACATTAATACGCATGTCGTGCAAAGCTTACACATGTCCTCTGTCACGGACAACATCCGATCCGGGAGGTTTTGGACCGACATTGTAGTAGTTGGTGAAGCATCGATGATGATTAGCTACACCATTGAACCCAATACTGTTCGGAAAATCAAGAAATAAGTTACATTGAAATTTCCGTAGTCTAGTTTTTCCATTGATGAATGGAAAACGATAAAAACAATCATATAGTGAACTCGTAGGGCTTCTGATGTAGCCGTCAGGGCCTTACCATACATATTAACACAGGAGGAAAGAACCCAAGGGAGCGACCGAATTCTGGCAGGAGCGTGTGCTCCTATCTGAACTGATCGTGTTGGAGTGTATAGTGATTGCAAGAATTTTCCGTGCGACCCCCCTGAGAAACAGCTCGAAGGGGTTGGGGATTGGGAAATTTTTTTGATGTCAGGCAAGCTCAGCGTGATCAGTTGATCTCATCGGCGTTGGATAAGCTGTTTGATGGAGACGTTTCTGGAGGTAGCAGTTCGTTAGTGATGAAGGGTGAGAAGAAGGAAGAAGGAAGCGGTGGTGATGGTGTGAAGAAGGAAGGGGAGGATGAACAAGAGGAAAAACTTAATGATGGAGGTCAGCTCAACTAGGAACTCAAGATGTGTTATTTCGTGTATCTATGAAGTATTCCTAGTAGCTGGAGTATCGTGAATGGTAGTGGTAACTCTACAGTATTTGGATCTCATGCTTATGGTCACGAGATGAGCCAATAGTACAAAGTCTTGTAAGAGCGGTATAGATTCTATATCGAAGAGTTTACTACTAGAGAACTCTCCGTCCCCGATCTTGACAGATGTAATGATGAGTATCAATGAGATAATCTGATTCAGCAGATACAGCAGTAGCAGAGGCTGTGTTCAAGGGTGATTTAGAATGGGAGCGTATCGAAGTGATATCTGATGATGATGAGGAGGGAACCTCCACCGGAGAGAACCGAGCTAAGTCAAGCTCGTCATCAAAGGAAATGGTGAGAATTTCTGAAGCTTCGCTCCGCTCATTATGGCATTTCTGTTTTAGGAACCGCGTCCCCCTCCGGTGCACATTGCTGATGAAGTAGAAGCGGCAGCAGCCAAACGAAAAGCGGCGATGCCTCACATGGTGTTCAAAGCGAAGAAGAAAGCCAAGGCCACATCGACTGCTCCGGAAGGTGAGTCTGAGGTCGTGGGTTCGATTCCAAGGACTGATTATCTGAGGGGATATTTTTATGAGCTGCACGTGTTGTATTCCTTTAGCTCCGCCCTCGGCTGTTACTCTCGGTGCGGCTCTGGGAGGATATGGGTCATCTTCAAGTAGTGACGGCAGCGGTTCTAATGGTGACGATTGATTTCATATAGCGAATAGGAACCGATTAACGTTTCATATCACAGAGCAACAAGCAGTCTTTGTTCCCGTTAATAGTCTCTATAGCCATCCTGCTGCGATCGACAAGGGACAAACGAGATGATCGCCACTCAGCATTGAGACAAATCAACAGTACAAGTTCATGACCCATCGCCTGCGGTTTCAAAATGTGATTGCGAGCAGGAACCTCAATGCTACTTTGAGGGCCTGCAGCTTGTGCAGAGCTAGATGTAGCATGTGATAAGAACTTTATCAGTCGAGGTCATCAATCCAGAAGGGTAACGGTAAAAGGGAGCTTCGCGTTAGGACTGAATGAGATTTCAGCGGAGCTCTGGGGTTTATTTTCGCTGCTGAGCATTTTGCATTCTCGGCTGAGGTAATGGCCGCGGCATTGCGTCAGTTATTCACGGAACTGTCGACGACAGTCTGTCGTCTGAAGCTGCTTCAGCGTCAGCCGTGGAGTACAGTATAGACCGATATACGCGTATAACCTTGCAAAACCTTATCGACACGAAACTGGCGTGGGCCACCTGGGTGCAACCATAACGCGAGGACAGAGAAATGCGTTCTACTAGGGATTCAAGTATGGGACATGGGTAGTAACAAAAGCGAATGGTTCATACAGGTTACTGAGCACCAAGTTGCCAAGCAACACGTAACATATTATACGTTACTACGCATCCGCCAAACACCAACAACTAACAAGCGGAACAAGTCTGGAATGTCCCACAACACATGTATGATACTCGGGTGAGAAATTGATCCACTGAAGATGAGATTGAGGGGTACAGTGATGCTTGCTCGCAGGGGACCAGGAACACCCGATTGCTTCGTTCTCATCCTCACGGCGCGGGACACACTGTGTCCGTTCTGTGCCCGACACAGAACGGGTACTGGAACTTCACTTGCAACTTCGAGTTGGTCTAGGCCGGCTTGTGCTCAGGCCGAGCACAAATCGTGCCGAACAGCTCGGCAAACAGGGCATAATTCCAACGTCAATTATCCGCCGTCTACGGGATGTTCGGCTACTGAGCAGGGAGGCAGGGGTGACGAGAGGTTTAGAGAGCGTAGTTCTTGGTAAGCGGCGGGCATTTTTCGATGAGTTTGAACGAAGCGGAACGAGTGGAAGTCCTATCAACAATGTGCCATCTTCCGCGGAGGAATTCTGCCATCCGTCGACGGAGAAGGCCGTACTTGATCTACCGGCTCGTAGCTCACATTCCTTATTGAAATATGCCCTACTAAAGGCATACGAAACATCGTGATGAAGCAACAACAGCCTCCTTGGCTGCGGTCTCCAGCCTCCTGGTCCAAGAGTCTTGGCTGCGGGACGGTTGACGATGACACGCCCAAGAAGAGATTCAGATGTCCCTCTACCAGCATCACAGGAATACTCAACCACTAGATTTGTATTATGCACCGGGTAAATTGACAAACAGGGTATAGTTTCAATCTCAATCATCAGGCGGCTATGGGATGGTGGGCTACTGAGCAGGTAGGCAGAGGTGATAAGGCCATTATCATAAGAGGTTTGGAGAGCGTAGCTCTTGGCAAGCGGCGGGCATTTGTCAATGGGCTTGAACGACGATGTGAGAGTGGAACCCTTACCCTTATCTGGAGTTGATTCAACACAGTATCATCTTCCGCAAAGCAATTCTGCCATCTGTCGGCAGAGGAGGTTATACCTGATCAACCGGTTCGTATCTCACATTCCGTTTTGAAATATGCGCTACTGGAGGACTTTGAGCTCCACAAGGTCGACCTTTTACGGGAGTTGAGCTCCCACTAGGTTCTATTCAGCCTAGGATGCTCCCGCAAAGGGAAAATAAGCGAGGAAATGGCAAAGTGACAAAAATTGGCAAAATAGGCGTTTCCACCGAAAAAAAATTCTACAGAGAATTTTGACCTCATAGGGCAATGATCGTCTGTAAATTGGGTCTACTGAACTTCTCACACTGCTCGGCCAAAGAGTTTAGCCTCTCCCCCTGCTACGACGTGACTGCCCAATGAAGTTCAGCTTTGTGTTAACGGTCTTAATACCTTTCGTTTTACCTTGAGGAAATGCAAGTGTCCAACTTCGCTAACTTGGCCAGGCCAAGTTTAGTTGATGCTATCAACTTCATGAGTTCTCAGCGCATCTCAATCGTACTAGCCTGCAACTAGTGCGCCAGTGTGGCTAGATGCTGCTTTGCGTTTCGTCTGTGGCTCCTGGTCATTCAGTATTTTTGTTCGCTCAACCTGGTTTTCCCCCAGTGCTTCACTCTTGAGAATCTTGTATGGTGACTTTCATGTCGGGCGCATCTGAAGCTCGGATCTGCTGAGTTCAGATATTCTGTCAAACGGAGCAGACGATCTCAATGTCGACCGTGTGGAGACTCACAGTCGACTTTATCTGTTGTTTTGACTGTCAAGAAGTATGCATGCCATGCACTTCTACGAGAAAATATAAGCATGAAGTGAACGAAGTACATCACTGAGGTACTGATGATCAGCGCATTTGCAGAGTATACATACTCAGTCGAGTTGAGTGAATTCGCAGATGTAGTGCAGTTACTGCGAGCATATAGTGAAGAACATAGAGTCATAAGTTTGCAAGATTCCCTCAATCTTGTGATGGATTTCTTAGGAATCATTCCTAGCAGAATAGAGGTCAGTACCGATTGAACTGGGCTCGGTAACTCGGGTTGCATCCATCATTATATGATAATCTTTTAGGTCAGCAGTGCTGACTCAGCACCTCTTTCGAGCTCGCTTGCAGCTGTTCAATGCACCTTATGCCAAATTCCTGCCGGAACTGCGGCCTTGGAACGTTCGTTCAGCTCTGGGAAATTCGTCACGAAGTAGGATCGATGCATCGTGTTCGTAAATTGCGAAGCGATTCGTTTAGTTATTGACTGTTCCAACTACCAGGTGCCAACCTGACTCAGGTTGGCACCTAGTTCTGGACCTGGCATATTGATCTCAGGTTACCTGAGATCTATATGATTGCTGCTCAGGGTCAACAGACTTCAAGCAGAGACATTCACTGATGTTTACTTACGATACAAGACCCGCAAGAGCTTGGGATTGATAGATTCTGAGTCAAGTGATATGCAGCTCCCTGAACAACCCAATTGATGATGCATTGGTGCATGAATATACTTGTTTAATCAAGACTTGAGTTCTCTTGAGTTGAGTGGTTCTTAGCCACAGTGCTGCAAAATACGTTCGCTTTTTTTATCTGGGTTTAATGGTTCTATCGTGGTGATCAGAACAGATGAAAAGATGCTTCTGAAGATTTTTCATTTTTTGCCGTTTTTTGCTCTTTTTAGCCACTTTTGGCATTTTCCCCCGCTTTTTCCCTCTTCTTCCCCTCTTTTGCCAAGTACCAGGAAATGGCAGGAAAATTTCGCTGGAAAAATTGGCAATGGAAGAATTGTTGCCATTTTTGAGCACCCCGATTCAGCCTAAGCATTGATCATACTCGGTCTGTTCCTAAACGGGTAACTACGAACCGGCTACTTGGTGGTGTCTGTTGCCGATCGTGGAATTGTCCTAATTGCAGCGGCCGGCATTGACACAGTTGAAAGGTAATATAAATACTGATGTGGTGACTATATTCGTAGGTCGGGCTGAGTAGCCATCTGGCTCAAGATCTTAGTTGATTCGTTCATCGTTGCCTATGCCCGTCACCGAAAGTGACATCGCTCGCCTCCAACAACAGATCGCCGAGCTAAGTGCCGTCGTCTCTATGAAACAGGACATGGCCGTTACGAACGACCAAAGCGGCAATCCTGTTGGTGTGAAAGATTGCCTACTGCTCCTGGAGAACAAGATGAAGGGTATGGAGGATAGAGTGAAGATCAGCGTGGCCGATCTGCACACTCTAATTAGTAATAACGAGGAGCGCTTGGATACCATCACTGATAAGCTCAACGACTGTGTCACTAACTTGGACAGGAAAATTGACGCGCAGTCCAACATGATGCAGAGTATGTACAAGCTCCTCGACAACATGGCTAATCAGTCGAACAAACAGCAAGCACCCAACCAGGAGGCGAGACCAACAACCAAGAACCCAAGATCGCCACCGAGAATCATGACCACCAACTCCCATGCTCGCATCGAGAGAAGTGAGCCCAGCTTTGACTACAAGTCCAACTCAAGGGTCGTCATCTTTGGCGTCGCCGAGCCGGATGATTCATCGAACACTCTCAACGGAGCTGATACTGGTAGCAGGCCCACGGTCCGAACTCAGGTGGAAGATGCACTGAAAGCTGCTGGAGTGATCTACGAGGCACCCCACATACGTACCACCAAAAGACTTGGTACATATAACCCAGACAGGAGTGAAACTACAAGGCCGAGGCCTATATGTGTACAATTCTCCTCACCCGACGTCGCTAGCACCTTCTTGCGCGAGAACGGCGGCAAACTGCGATGTCACGGAATTAATATGAAATGGTGGAGGCCGGGTAAGCCGAGAGTAGGTCAATATGAGAGGTTTTCGCCCACTATATCATCGAGAATTGACCATATAGAAGCTCTGTTGAAAAAAGAGTTCGCCCAACGCAGGGTGGCCGGTGGAAGGAAAAATAGATTTTCTTTCTTTCATTTCTTTTTTTTCAGAAAATTAGGCAAGTAAGGAAACTTGCGAAGGAAAGAATGATCCTATTTTTCTGGGCGGCCTTCGGCCGCCTCCTTCGAAGCAAGCTGTTTTACTACAAACTGCCCTACAAATTTTGTAGGGCAGTGCCTTCTGAGGCCGTATGCGGATCCTGATGCTTGCATCACTAGGAGTGATTCACTACCCCTGAGTAAACTCACCCACTGATACCGATGCGTGAGTAAAATGGGGCAGTGATGTTGAGTACGCGAGTCAGATTATATTACGCAGGATAGTATGCAAGATTCAAGATGCTGATTCCTGATCTCTGAGTAACAGTATTGATTCACGATGGTGGATCAAACTCGCGTGATGCAAATCACTATACGTACTCAGAACCTGATGCAGATGGATAATTCCTCGTTAATCACGCCAAATTTACACGTAAAAACGCGCAGTCTGCGCGTTTTTACCCCCGGTAATGGGTCTGCGCGGCGCAGACCCATTACCGGGGGTTTTTCGCCGCGACCCTCATGGGGGATGCTGATTCAAAAGTTTTGAATCAAAACCCCGAGTAACGTCTTGCAATCTTGAACTTTCGTAATTTGGTATGAAATTCGAGAGGTTAGGCTGAATCGGTAAAGTTGGAAAAAGCTTGTACCAGTAATTGAACCCGAGTCGAATTACTCGGATTGTCACGGTGATGCGAGTGTGTAAGATGCTTTAAAAAGGCGGTCGCCTAGAATAGAACCGGCGACCTATCCGTGCATCAGAGTAGGTCGCTGATCGCGATGAGGCCAGAATCGCAGTTCTCGATCATCGAAATGATTTTGACGAAATCCAGACGTCTCCGCGAAAAAATGTACTTTTTGGTCTGCGCACCTTCCGGGCGCGCGCTATCCACAAACGGAAGGAAAAATAGATTTCTATTTTTCCTTCCCTCCGCAGGAAAAATAGGGAGGAATGAAAGAAAGAATGGAAATTTCAGCCACCCTGGCCCAACGAGTACCCCATAGCTCGCATGCCGTATCCAACTCGATTTTTCACAACTAACTATTAGTAGTAACTACGTAGCTATCAGAACCAATGAAGATCATAGTAATGTAGATAGTCCGTTAATGATAGAATCTGCTGGAGCACTGCCTCCCACTCTTTCTAATGTAGCAAAGTCATCCCTGTCACGGGATACGACCTATAGACGTACAATGCGGACTCCGAATCATGAGCCTACAGTATCATTTCGTGTATCACAGCAATACTCTGACATTGAATTGTGTAGTTACGATAAATCGTGTCATTTCTTTCCAAAAAGAAATACAAAAGAAATGAAAAGAGGCCCTAAAGTTTCAAAAGAACATCAAAAGAAAAAACAAAAGAGGGGGGATAGGCCCAACAAAAAAGAATGCACGAAAAACCCCCAAAAACACGCCTCAAATAGTGAGGATGATGATGTATCTCACAGGTTCGATTGTATTAAAGGGAAGAGAGAAACGTTACTAGGGCGTGGATCAACCTTCCGGGTTGGTACTCTCAACGTCCAATCAGCGAGGTCACGGTTCCGGCTCGATAATCTCACTAGAATGATTGAGGGAGATTGCTGTGATATACTGATACTCTGCGAAACTCACTGTATGCTCGTTACCAATATAGCGAGCAAAACAATATTAAATGCAGACAATGATGGTGTCAAGGCGGTGATCTCTCTCAGGGCAAAGAGAAATCAGATTTGCCACAAAGTTATTGGACAGAGGATTATGGTTATGAGATTCTACTCGAGACTCATTCGCGTCACTATCATTGGTGTATACTGGCCAGCGCAGACCTCCTCTCGGTCAAAACAAGAACTCGAAGACTTTGCCGACTCACTGTCCAGTGTAATTAGTGAGGTATCACAGAGGGACTTACTGATTGTCTTGGGAGACTTCAACGCCACCGGATACAACTGGGGATTGCTTTACAATATCACTGAGGGCCACAGCTTATGCGTACCCCAACAAACTAAGTTCCACCATCTTAAAGAAGTGGGAACGTGGACTCCACCCGGAGCGACACGGAGACAAGCCAACCCCATTGACTTAGTCATGGTGAGGAAGCACCAAGTGAATATGATAGAGGAGATGCAAATCATCACCCCGAATTTCATCGAGACTGATCATATGATGGTGACAGCAAGGTTCGGACTTCATGTGAATAAGAAATATCTGGGTAGGAAAGTATCTGCCAGAAGTGGATCACCGATATATAGACCAATACAGGACTCGTCAAATATCACAAAGATGGAGGCAGCGTTGAGAAATGGATTGCGATCACTTGATGAGCGGGTAGACGACTGCGATATTGACCTACTATGGAATGACTTCAAGGAGAGTGTGCGACAAAGCTACGAGTTGGCAAAAGAACGAGAAGTAGACAACCGCTACGGAAGAACACCGGCCAGCGGCCGTGGGAGCAGAAAAGAATTACGAGCAGGGATTCATCAAGCAGTTGAAGAGATCAGGCACACCCCCATGCATGATCACCGATCAATATGGAGTCTTCTCCGTAAAAGATTGGGAGTTAAAGGTAGGAGTGATACCATACTGGGGATCCTACAAGCCGAGGACTTCGCAGCATACATGAGAGAGCTGTACACACCACCAGATTACAACAATCCGAGGGTACCAGCGAGAGAGACAGGGAGACCCGTTGGCTATCGGGATCCCGAGGAGGACCCTCAACCGGCACCGGCACCACCTTCCCCGAACGAGGTCTTCGAGGCTACAGCTAGGTTGAAGAGGGGCAAGGGCCCAGGTATCGATGGGATCAGCGGAGACCTTCTCAAACAAAGCCCAGTTTTGCAGCGATGGATCCATAAGATATGTGAGAAATGTTTCGTGGCAGAAAAGCAGCCAACTGAATGGCTAACGAGTGAAGTGACACTCATCAAGAAGGGCCGGAAAGCGGCAGACACAGTGATGTCCTATCGAACGGTGATGGCACAAGTAGCGGCGGCGAAAATTTACTCAGCGGTTATATTGGGAAGGATCAGAGACCAGTTGGATGAAAGGATTCACCACTCACAATGCGGATTCAGAAAACTTCGGTCTGCAGTTGGAGTCATACATGCCACGCAATTGCTGAGAGATGCATGCATAGCATATAATCGACCCCTCTGCCTACTGATGGCAGACTGGAAGAAGGCATTCGATAAGTTGGATAGGAAGTTCATGACGGACTGTCTACAAGCGGCGGGTATTCACCCAAAATATTTGAGAATAATAGAGCAGAGCTATTCGGATGCAGTGGCATCATTGACAGTTCATAGGAAGACCTGTGAAGTAAAGTTGGGATCAGGAGTTAAGCAGGGCGATATATGGAGCCCCATTATCTTCATAACATCACTGGATATGATATTGAGACGAAGTACAATAACTGCAAAGCGTGGTTTCGTCCTTCTCAGAGAGCATGACTACACCCATCGACACACTCGATTCTCTGAAAGATCGTATAGCTTACAAGAACCTATCGGGTGCCTATGCTTCGCTGATGATATTACGGTCCCAACAAACTCTCAAGAAGAGAGTGACATTGCACTGGATGCGTTAGAAGAGGAGGCTGCCCCAGCAAATCTCAGCTTGGGAATCGGTGAACCGGAATGTAAGACAAGGAGGCTACTTATCAATTGTCAACACGACAGCGAGCACAACAGAGTGGCAGTGGTTACGGAGTATCGGCAACTGGGAGTCTTAATATCTAGTGAAGCTGGATACGCGAAGGCAATACGTGATCGGATTCGAGTCGCGGGGGCCAACCTTCATCGGCTCCACAACATCTGGAAGTCCCACGACATCGGTATTCGAGGTAAGATGGTTGTGATGAGGTCCGTCGTCTTTGCTTCGCTCTTCTATGGATCGGAGACTATGGCCCTTAATAAGGAGGAGACACAAATGTATAAGACGTTCTACAATACATGCTTAAGGAAAGTGATTCGGTTACCTCCGATGACGACGATGTCTTCCAAGGAGCTCTGCGCTCGTACACGTTCAGCAGGATGTTTGAATGAACTCCGTGCGAGAAGATTGAGATGGTATGGACATCTAATGAGATCACCGGATGATAACGTGGCCAAGAGATTATTAGAGTGGAACCCGAGAGTGCACAATGGATTCTCGAGGCGCCCAGGTAGGCCTCGTCAGTCGTGGCTAGAGTTGATCAAACACGACATGATAGAGACAGGCGTTAAAACGAGCACAGCAAGAAATAGAACTTTGTGGGAGCGGAGGATCCGTTTGGGCTGTAACATGCCGCTGAAGCATGATATGGTGTAAAAAAAAGATAAAAAAAAAAGAAAAAAAAGCAAAAAAAAGATAAAAAAAAGAAAAAAAAGATAAAAAAAAAGAAAAAAAAAGATAAAAAAAGGCAAAAAAAAACAAAAAAAAGCGCAAAAAAATACACAATGAAGAGCATGAATGCACGTTCTGCTGTGTAGCAATGGTATCAATGCAACTATTATAGGCGCAAGCCTACTGTATTTTTTTTTCTTCTGCGGTCTGGTCAGCCCTATACTTGACCTCATAAACTCCGTTGCTGCACTAGGTGTAGCTCGGAGTCGCCTAGCCGTACGACGGCTGCGAGCGAGAGAGAGAGAGAGAGAGATCTCAATCGTACTAGTCTGCAACTAGTGCGCCAGTGTGGCTAGATGCTGCTTTGCGTTTCGTCTGTGGCTCCTGGTCATTCAGTATTTTTGTTCGCTCAACCTGGTTTTCCCCCAGTGCTTCACTCTTGAGAATCTTGTATGGTGACTCTCATGTCGGGCGCATCTGAAGCTCGAATCTGCTGAGTTCAGATATTCTGTCAAACGGAGCAGACGATCTCAATGTCGACCGTGTGGAGACTCACAGTCGACTTTATCTGTTGTTTTGACTGTCAAGAAGTATGCATGCCATGCACTTCTACGAGAAAATATAAGCATGAAGTGAACGAAGTACATCACTGAGGTACTGATGATCAGCGCATTTGCAGAGTATACATACTCAGTCGAGTTGAGTGAATTCGCAGATGTAGTGCAGTTACTGCGAGCATATAGTGAAGAACATAGAGTCATAAGTTTGCAAGATTCCCTCAATCTTGTGATGGATTTCTTAGGAATCATTCCTAGCAGAATAGAGGTCAGTACCGATTGAACTGGGCTCGGTAACTCGGGTTGCATCCATCATTATATGATAATCTTTTAGGTCAGTAGTGCTGACTCAGCACCTCTTTCGAGCTCGCTTGCAGCTGTTCAATGCACCTTATGCCAAATTCCTGCCGGAACTGCGGCCTTGGAACGTTCGTTCAGCTCTGGGAAATTCGTCACGAAGTAGGATCGATGCATCGTGTTCGTAAATTGCGAAGCGATTCGTTTAGTTATTGACTGTTCCCACTACCAGGTGCCAACCTGACTCAGGTTGGCACCTAGTTCTGGACCTGGCATATTGATCTCAGGTTACCTGAGATCTATATGATTGCTGCTCAGGGTCAACAGACTTCAAGCAGAGACATTCACTGATGTTTACTTACGATACAAGACCCGCAAGAGCTTGGGATTGATAGATTCTGAGTCAAGTGATATGCAGCTCCCTGAACAACCCAATTGATGATGCATTGGTGCATGAATATACTTGTTTAATCAAGACTTGAGTTCTCTTGAGTTGAGTGGTTCTTAGCCACAGTGCTGCAAAATACGTTCGCTTTTTTTATCTGGGTTTAATGGTTCTATCGTGGTGATCAGAAGTTCTGATTCAGAACAGATGAAAAGATGCTTCTGAAGATTTTTCATTTTTTGCCGTTTTTTGCTCTTTTTAGCCACTTTTGGCATTTTCCCCCGCTTTTTCCCTCTTCTTCCCCTCTTTTGCCAAGTACCAGGAAATGGCAGGAAAATTTCACTGGAAAAATTGGCAATAGAAGAATTGTTGCCATTTTTGAGCACCCCGATTCAGCCTAAGCATTGAGCATACTCGGTCTGTTCCTAAACGAGTAACTACGAACCGGCTACTTGGTGGTGTCTGTTACCGATCGTGGAATTGTCCTAATTGCAGCGGCCGGCATTGACACAGTTGAAAGGTAATATAAATACTGATGTGGTGACTATATTCGTAGGTCGGGATTGTTGCCCGACTGCTGCATCATTACACAAATGATATGCACCGCTAGTCGTATGTTTGGAAGTTCTGCCGCTGCGCTACTAGGGGGGCTTCGATATATAAAAACCGCTTTTTCGTCACATTTCTTGTCTTTCGTCTCTTTTTTATGTTTATCTTACTTGTTAGTCTTCTCATTTAGTGAGTGAAAGCCTTTGTCGCCCCCCCTAAGCGTGCTGTTGAGGGGGCTTCTATTGCTTAGGTGGGCTTCGGTAGGAACAATCTCGCTCGCCCATATTTTTATTCCTCTGTGTTTTGAGTTGCTGAGTCCATTGATGGCTGCTGATGTTTTTCTAAGTATCTGTTGTTCTTATGCCTCATGATCGTCTGACGAGGCAGCAGGCTGAGGAGAAGTATAAAGACCTCATCCTCGCCTGGAAGAGAGGCGAGAATCCGCGGCCCAGCCGATCGGGTATTGGACTATGATAGTCCGACTATCGGGTGGTTTAGTTGTGTATTGTACATTAGGGCGTCTTCCAAAGGAGGTGGAAAAAATCAGGGATGCAATATTCAAAGAAAGAGTGGCGGTTGCGAAACGCAATAATTGGTTCGCGAAGAAGAGCGAAGGTGAGATCTAGAATCCTCGTTGATGGACTGTGTTCTTGTGAGGCATAACTCTGCTACACATTACTAGTTACCAGCAGATTAGCGCTATCCACCAGTCATGCATTCAGATACATCCATCGCTCAGTGCTCAACGACACCATCACCAGAAGCACCATCAACGGTATCAGCACCATCATCAGTTGTCAGAGAACAACCTCCAAAATCTGGTCAACGCCAGCCGTGGCTACATGATCCGCAGACTGTCCAGGACTTAGAAGCGTTAATAGGGCGCCTGTCTGAGATCGACAATAGCCGCCCTGGTCTTTATCATTTCAAATGCCCTACTCCAGAGGAAGCCATGCGCAGTTCAGCTGTAGGGTCCATACCCGACAAGCTACGCGGTCGTGATCTCTGGCTTTGGCATCCCCATGGTGGCCGATGCCCGGTTTGTAACAGTGCTGACATTACCTCGGTCAAGCAGTTGATCCCAGCCAAGGTTGTTTACAGTGATGAAGTCGACGGAGCCTGGCATTCTCGTCTGATATCGACTAGACGGCGATGTGGTAACCCACAGTGTCAGCATTGCTTTAGCAGTCTCAACTATAAGTATATTGATACCTTGCCCGATATCGTCAGTGATGGGATCTTAAGTCGGTTCGTGCTGGGCAAACAGAGCATAATTCCAGTATCAATCATCCGACGGCTACGGGATGGCGGGCTAGTGAGTAGGGAGGCAGAGGTGATAAGGGGTTTGGAGAGCGTAGCTCTTGGTAGGCGACGGGCATTTTTCAATGAGTATAAACGACGATGTGAGAATGGAACCCTAATCTCCACCGTGTCAGCTTCCGCGAGGGAAATCTGCCGTCTATCGGCGGAGGAGGCTATACCTGATCAACCTGCCCGCATCTCACATTTGGTATTGAAATATGCTCTATTGAAGGACTTCGAGCTGCATAAAGCAGATCTTCTACGGGAACTGAGCTCCCATAAAGTTCAATTTAGCCTGAGTATTGATCATACTCGATCTGTACCTAAACGGGTGAGTACGAACCGTAATGGCTATTTGGTGGTATTCGTGGCCGATGGTGGAATGGTTCTGAATGCAGTATCGACAGAGTCGACGAGCATGGCCGAGTTGGCGCCGGCATTGGCGCAGTTGAAAGATAATATCAGCACTGATGTGGTGACGATATTCGTAGATCGGGATTGTTGTCAGACGGTTGGTGACAACAACAGGCGATTGATAGCCAAGGCACTCGATAGGGAGCCGGAGACTATCGAGTTAAAACTAGATGCACTCCACTGCATCTTCAGATTGCTGAGAAACACCGCCGATAATCATCCTCGTCAGAACCGTTTCGCAACTGCACTATCAAAGTGCTTTTTCATCGACAATGAGGCTGATCTTATCGAATTTCGAGCTCAGCGAGCTCGTGCTGGATTACTATCGAAACCTAGCCGATCTGAGATGAGACGGCATGTGCGTCGGGTGATTCCTCAGCCGGTAGAACTACGACGGAGACTCGAAGTCTGTATTCGATCGTTTTGGGAATTGGATTGCGAGGGTGAAGCATCTACTCATCAATCCCAGCGTGAGGAGGTCAGTGGACGACCGTTGCCGGGTTCTGTGGGAGTACCTTTATTCAAAGACAGCTCCTGGCCCACATTCAGGTCGGTATTAGTACATGTGGACAACTACTGTATATCGGATACGTCAACATCGACGGCTTTTGTGAGGGATGCTCAGGGTGGCCTCAGACATGTTAGAGGGAGCTCTCGGAGTGAATGTCGCCATGCATGCATCAAAAAAGATTTCTCCCAAACAAGCCGGATCTCTGGGGTTTTGCATGATTGTAAACTGTTATGGCGGATGGTTTACAGCAATAGAAGGCTGAAAATGAAAATGGAAGGTGGAATCGATGGCAAGGAGGCTATCCCCATACCATTGAGCAGCAGAGAGTATCGATTTGCGGCGACGGCTGGCAGTAGCATCAATGTGACCTCACAGAAGGCAAAAATTGTGTTCGGCGACGAATATTTGGCTCTGACCAACAAGCAGCGATATCAGGCTATCTGCAAGGAGTGGGAGAATGAGAGGAAGAAAGATGAAGAATCAAGTTCCGCCTCGGATAATGAAGAGGATGGTAATCCTACCAACGATCAAGAGAGCGCCATCATGAAATGTATCTCAGGTAATAAGGGGGATATATCATAGTGTTTCAAACTGTGAGTCGTACTCAGGTGATGTGGAAGAGTCTGATTGTGATTCGGCTGAGTTGAGTACTCCCGATGCTGGAGATTCCAGGGATGACGGTTTCCAAGCTATGCGAATGGGTGGTAAATCACGGAGGCGGTTTTGCCGGTTACGCGGAAGTCATGCAACAAGTCCCATCATCCGGCTAGCAAACTGGTCAAATATAGTGACTGGTGTAGTACGTGACCTCATAAGTCAAGTCCCTGACGAGAACCCGGATTCTATTTTTAAATTATATACGAAAAGGGTGTTGGATGAAGTGCACTGTGCTATGACAGATGATGGAGTCAAAGCACCGCTGCCTCTCCATGCCATTTCCTTGGATGACCTCAAGACTTACATCAAACAGCTGAATCGTACCCGTGCGTCTTCGATTCCTTCTACAGTGCGAGGTCAGGAAGTGGCAGCCCGGCTCTTCGAAGGAATGAAGCCTCCGATTGATATATCATTCCCTCACACTCATTCCGCCAATCAGCAGATGGTATCTCCCATCAAGTTGGGAGCTGGTCCGAAGCCCGTCACAACCTCGGATGTGCTGGATGATATTGTGCGCCAAAAGCGGGAGAGAGGCTCAGTATCTCAGTCTCCGATCCAGAGTGTAAGCATTACTCAGAGAAGAGCCGCTAATCAAGATGCCAGTGGGCCAGCTGAGGGTGCAGCGTCTCCAGAGCCTCACGTCAAGGGCCTCTCTCGCGGAGAAGATTCGCTCAATAGCAAGGTCTGTCGATTCTGTGGCAAGCCGCTTATTGATGGTTACAATGACCATGTTCGTGATGGTAGTAGATGGGGACGTTGCCCGATGGATTCTCGGCCGTTCATGGATAATGAATCCAAGGCTATGAGGAGATTGGCCCGAGAGCGAGCCAAGACTATACGGGTGACTGCGGCAGGCTCGGGGAGAAATTGTGGTTGGTGTGGGATACCGTATCCCGGATACGCCTCACAGCGGTTATGATGAAAGAGGATGGAGGAGAGATGCCAGGTCATGAGCAGTTTGCTGACGAGCATGGCAAAATCGTGAGGTTCTGTCCGCTCGCTATGAATTTGAATCATCAAAGGGTGGAGAGCCTGAGGCTCCTGAAAACGCATCGTGCTATGGAGAAGAAGAGTCGTTATAACTCTAATAAACGACGACGTTATCATGAGCGAAGAACGACTGGTGATGGAGAGGTGGCTGATAACATCATCGAAGGTAGCTGAAATCGTGAAACCCAGTCCGTCGACTTGTTCCGTCTTAGGTACAACTCTTGACAAGATGGATGTCAATACCGCAGTTGCTGCTAACACTATCGGAGGTAGTTGAAAAGGTGTGTCGAATTCATGAGATCGATGTTTCCCAGGCGCGGGTATATTCTCCCAGTTCTGCGATTGAAACGATGATTAATGTGATCACATATTGAAGGCCTGATAGTCTGATCGAATGCTGCTGGATCACATTATCAGTTGACTGCCAGCTCTGTCGAACTGTGTCTTAACTTGACAATGATTTGTGTTATGCCAATAGGGAGCAATAATCATAAAACATGATAAAAGTTATATCACATAACTGGAGGAGTGAGCTTCAGACTGAAGCTCAGTAAGCAACACGGGAATTTCCCGTCGGGAAATGCCAGAAAAATGTTGGAAAAGTGCCGACTGTGGGACTCGAACCCGTGATATGATTTGGAAATAGATACACGGGGAATTATCAGATTTTCTCGCTAACTGGATTTCATGCAAAGAATAGATATAACAAGCATTCTATGCACTTCACGATTAACTGATGAGCATCCTCCTCTTCCTTCCTTCCATTCCCCTTCTTTTCCCCCCTTTTCTTTTCTTCATTTCCCCCTTTTTTCCTTCTTTCATTTTTTCCCGGGCCATTTTCTCGATTTTTCCCCCCACCCCTAGTCTAATGGTTAGGATATCTGCCTTCCAAGCAGATGGTCCGGGTTCGATTCCCGGGCGGTGCAGTCCGTATCAACGAGAGAAGGGTCTCTAGGCTATCGTAGAATAGTTATGCTCAGCACGTCAGGGCGATACAGGAGTTTGTACGCATGAGCAGCTGGGCGCAGTGGATAGCGTGTTGGGCTCATAACCCAAAGGTCCCTTGATCGAAACAAGAACTTCGATGTCACGAAAAAGTTGTGCAGCTTGTGCCGAGCTAGCTGTAGTATGCGATGAGAACCTTACCAGTTGGAGTTATCAACCGAGATAGAATGCGGCCTACCATGGGAGAGATATAGTAGCAGTTCGCGATCTCAGGTACGCGTTTAAGGCCTAATCAGACTCTTGGCCGCGGGATGGTTGACGACGGTACGTCCGAGAAGGGATTCAGATGTCCCTCTACAAGTATCACAGGAATACTCAATCACTATGTAAGTGATATGCACCGGTAGTCTAATGGTTGAGTTATCTGCCTTCCAAGCAGATGGTCCGGGTTCGATTCCCGGGCGGTGCAGTTCGTATCAACGAGAGAAGGGTCTCTAGACTATCGTGGAACAGTTATGCTCAGCACGTCAGGGCGATACAGGAGTTTGAACGCATGAGCAGCTTGGCGCAGTGGATAGCGTGTTGGGCTCATAACCCAAAGGTCTCTAGATCGAAACAAGCAGCTGCTATTCATCACAATACACTCGAGATGGTTATTAAACTGAGAGGTGCAGCTTGTCGACTGCATAGATCAGTCTTACCGAAAAATTTCCACTAAGCAGAGTCGGTGTTTTCGTACCATTCCATGCGATTGGCCCAACCGTGCCAGTTCAGGGGAAAAACAACGTTAATAAAGCGTTGTCCGTGCATAGAAAAGAGCTATTCACCTAGAGCAGAAGTCCTTGCAGGAATGATGAATGACCGCCCGGTACCTCAGAACGCGTTGCGGAGATGAAAAAACAGCCCAAATTCACGAGCCGCCGCATGCGGTTTCAAAATGTGCTTGCAAGCAGGAACTTCGATGTCACGAAAAAGTTGTGCAGCTTGTGCCGAGCTAGCTGTAGTATGCGATGAGAACCTTACCAGTTGGGGTTATCAACCGAGATAGAATGCGGCCTACCATGGGAGAGATATAGTAGCAGTTCGCGATCTCAGGTACGCGTTTAAGGCCTAATCAGACTCTTGGCCGCGGGATGGTTGACGACGGTACGTCCGAGAAGGGATTCAGATGTCCCTCTACAAGTATCACAGGAATACTCAATCACTACATAAATGATATGCACCGGTAGTCTAATGGTTGGATTATCTGCCTTCCAAGCAGATTGTTCGGGTTCGATTCCCGGGCGGTGCAGTTCGTATCAACGAGAGAAGGGTCTCTAGACTATCGTGGAACAGTTATGCTCAGCACGTCAGGGCGATACAGGAATTTATCCGCATGAGCAGCTTGGCGCAGTGGATTGCATGTTGGGCTCATAACCCAAAGGTCCCTTGATCGAAACAAGGAGCTGCTATTTATCACAATACACTCGAGATGGTTATTAAACTGAGAGGTGCAGCTTATCGACTGCATAGATCGGTCTTACCGAAAAATTTCCACTAAACAGAGTCGGTGATTTCGTACCATTCCGTGCGGTTGGCCCAACCGTGCCAGTTCAGGGGAAAAACAACGTTAATAAAGCGTTGTCCGTGCATAGAAAAGAGTTATTCACCTAGAGCAGAACTCCTTGCAGGAATGATGAATGACCGCCCGGTACCTCAGAACGCGTTGCGGAGATGAAACAACAGCCTAAATTCACGAGCCGCCGCATGCGGTTTCAAAATGTGCTTGCAAGCAGGAACTTCGATGTCACGAAGAAGTTGTGCAGCTTGTGCCGAGCTAGCTGTAGTATGCGATGAGAACCTTACCAGTTGGAGTTATCAACCGAGATAGAATGCGGCCTACCATGGGAGAGATATAGTAGCAGTTCGCGATCTCAGGTACGCGTTTAAGGCCTAATCAGACTCTTGGCCGCGGGGTGGTTGACGACGGTACGTCTGAGAAGGGATTCAGATGTCCCTCTACAAGTATCACAGGAATACTCAATCACTACATAAGTGATATGCACCGCTAGTCTAATGGTTAGGATATCTGCCTTCCAAGCAGATGGTCCGGGTTCGGTTCCCTGGCGGTGCAGTTCGTATCAACGAGAGAAGAGTCTCTATTCTATCGTGGAACAGTTATGCTCAGCACGTCAGGCGATACAGAGTTTGTACGCATGAGCAGCTTAGCGCAGTGGATTGCATGTTGGGCTCATAACCCAAAGGTCCCTTGATCGAAACAAGGAGCTGCTATTTATCACAATACACTCGAGATGGTTATTAAACTGAGAGGTGCAGCTTATCGACTGCATAGATCGGTCTTACCGAAAAATTTCCACTAAACAGAGTCGGTGATTTCGTACCATTCCGTGCGGTTGGCCCAACCGTGCCAGTTCAGGGGAAAAACAACGTTAATAAAGCGTTGTCCGTGCATAGAAAAGAGTTATTCACCTAGAGCAGAACTCCTTGCAGGAATGATGAATGACCGCCCGGTACCTCAGAACGCGTTGCGGAGATGAAACAACAGCCTAAATTCACGAGCCGCCGCATGCGGTTTCAAAATGTGCTTGCAAGCAGGAACTTCGATGTCACGAAGAAGTTGTGCAGCTTGTGCCGAGCTAGCTGTAGTATGCGATGAGAACCTTACCAGTTGGAGTTATCAACCGAGATAGAATGCGGCCTACCATGGGAGAGATATAGTAGCAGTTCGCGATCTCAGGTACGCGTTTAAGGCCTAATCAGACTCTTGGCCGCGGGGTGGTTGACGACGGTACGTCTGAGAAGGGATTCAGATGTCCCTCTACAAGTATCACAGGAATACTCAATCACTACATAAGTGATATGCACCGCTAGTCTAATGGTTAGGATATCTGCCTTCCAAGCAGATGGTCCGGGTTCGGTTCCCTGGCGGTGCAGTTCGTATCAACGAGAGAAGAGTCTCTATTCTATCGTGGAACAGTTATGCTCAGCACGTCAGGGCGATACAGGAGTTTGTACGCATGAGCAGCTTAGCGCAGTGGATAGCGTGTTGGGCTCATAACCCAAAGGTCCCTTGATCGAAACAAGAAGCTGCTATTCATCACAATACACTCGAGATGGTTATTAAACTGAGAGGTGCAGCTTGTCGACTGCATAGATCAGTCTTACCGAAAAATTTCCACTAAGCAGAGTCGGTGTTTTCGTACCATTCCATGCGATTGGCCCAACCGTGCCAGTTCAGGGGAAAAACAACGTTAATAAAGCGTTGTCCGTGCATAGAAAAGAGCTATTCACCTAGAGCAGAAGTCCTTGCAGGAATGATGAATGACCGCCCGGTACCTCAGAACGCGTTGCGGAGATGAAACAACAGCCCAAATTCACGAGCCGCCGCATGCGGTTTCAAAATGTGCTTGCAAGCAGGAACTTCGATGTCACGAAAAAGTTGTGCAGCTTGTGCCGAGCTAGCTGTAGTATGCGATGAGAACCTTACCAGTTGGGGTTATCAACCGAGATAGAATGCGGCCTACCATGGGAGAGATATAGTAGCAGTTCGCGATCTCAGGTACGCGTTTAAGGCCTAATCAGACTCTTGGCCGCGGGATGGTTGACGACGGTACGTCCGAGAAGGGATTCAGATGTCCCTCTACAAGTATCACAGGAATACTCAATCACTACATAAATGATATGCACCGCTAGTCTAATGGTTAGGATATCTGCCTTCTAAGCGGATGGTCCGGGTTCGATTCCCGGGCGGTGCAGTTCGTATCAACGAGAGAAGGGTCTCTATTCTATCGTGGAACAGTTATGCTCAGCACGTCAGGGCGATACAGGAGTTTGTACGCATGAGCAGCTTGGCGCAGTGGATAGCGTGTTGGGCTCATAACCCAAAGGTCCCTTGATCGAAACAAGGAGCTGCTATTCATCACAATACACTCGAGATGGTTATTGAACTGAGAGGTGCAGCTTATCGACTGCATAGATCAGTCTTACCGAAAAATTTCCACTAAACAGAGTCGGTGTTTTCGTACCATTCCGTGCGGTTGGCCCAACCTTGCCAGTTCAGGGGGAAAACAACGTTAATAAAGCGTTGTCCGTGCATAGAAAAGAGCTATTCACCTAGAGCAGAACTCCTTGCAGGAATGA